CGCGGGGGTGCTTGCGCCAGCCTGCAGTCACTCGGCGTGTCGCATCGTCGCCGCCACTTCGTTCGTCGCGCGTCGCGTCATGTCGTTTCACGTCGTTTCACGTCTTCGTGTCGTTTCACGTCGTTCACGTCGTTTCACGTCGTTCACGTCGTTTCACGTCGTTCACGTCGTTTCGCGTCTTCGCGTCGTTTCACGTCGTTTCACGTCGTTTCACGTCGTTCACGTCGTTTCACGTCGTTTCGCGTCTTCACGTCGTTTCGCGTCGTTCACGTCGTTTCACGTCTTTTCACGTCGTTTCACGTCTTCGCGTCGTTTCACGTCGTTTCGCGTCGTTCACGTCGTTTCGCGTCGTTTCGCGTCGTTTCACGTCTTCGCGTCGTTTCGCGTCTTCGCGTCGTTTCACGTCGTTCACGTCGTTTCACGTCGTTTCACGTCGTCGGTTCACGTCGTTTCGCGTCGTTTCGCGTCGTTTCGCGTCTTCGCGTCGTTTCGCGTCTTCGCGTCGTTTCGCGTCGTTCACGTCGTTTCACGTCGTTCACGTCGTTTCACGTCGTTTCACGTCGTTTCACGTCTTCGCGTCGTTTCACGTCGTTTCGCGTCGTTCACGTCGTTTCACGTCGTTTCACGTCGTTCACGTCGTTTCGCGTCTTCGCGTCGTTTCGCGTCGTTTCGCGTCGTTTCGCGTCTTCGCGTCGTTTCGCGTCTTCGCGTCGTTTCGCGTCGTTTCGCGTCGCGGCGTGTCCCGCTGCCCTTAAGTCCCCCCCCACGCCCCGCCCCCGTCGCGCGCGGGCCGTTCATGCGTTCCGTCGACTGCGCGTGAGCCCACCTGCGCGACGCCGTCGCCATCGCGGGCTTCAGCGCGAATTATGTCGCGCAGAAGTTTTCGCTGACGATCGACTTGCCAACGCCGCGCCCCATCGTAACCGTCGGTCGTTTCATGCTCAATCGGATCGCAATGCATGGGCGCATCATGGCGCCGTTAACCCTTCGTGCGCACCCACCGCGTAATAGCAGCCCCCCATGCTCGAAACGCATTCGGATGTTGGCATTTCCGTATTTCCCCGACCACCCAATCCTCCTCGCCACGCGTTCACTCCTTCACACCGATGCCCCCATCGATGGTGCCCAGGCCCTCCAGCAATTTCGGCCCCCCACGCGCGTCGCGGCCCCGAAGGGGACTCCACCTGCAAACCCATTTCGGCGCACCCCTCGCACGTGTCGTGGCCCCTTCGGGAGCTCCACCAAACACCTCGGGTTCGCGGTAACGGCCCCGCACCCAGTATATATACACGTACTTATGAATACAGGTCGGCGCGCCCCCTGTCGTTTCGTGGCCCCGTAGGAAAGCTCCTACTTCCTGCCTGCACTGCGGTATTCACGCTATATTTGACGGGGCCCATGAACAATTCTGTTGGCGTGCATGTGCATGTAGTTACGTGTGCTACACGTATATTGCACACTCTACAAACCAAATATTATTAGATAAATGCATCTGCATATATATATATATATATGTATATAATGTATATGTATATGTATACGTGCAAGCCACCCTTCAGCTAGGGGGCGTGCGATTCTGCTGGGGGGAGACCCGAGCTCGAGCGAGAGGCCATCCAACGCCCGCGGACTCCGGCTCTGGGCGGACTGACGGCACCCCCTGATCCACCCTTTAATAACGGCACCCATCCACCCGTTTTTTACATACATATATAAACAATGTGTGTATATATATATAATGTGTGTGCGTGTGTGAATGCACGGGGAGGTGATGGCCCCGAAGAAGCAGAAGAAGAACGGACAGGCCACCATGTTGCCCAATCCCCCATCCCTTCCCGCCCTCGCCATTTCCCCTCCTCACCCCGTTCCCCTCCTCACCCCCCACCCCCCGACGTTCTCTCTTTGCCTCTCCGCATTCCTGCCGCCGAACTGCGGAGCCAGGGAAAGCGCCAGAACAAAGAGCACGAGAACGCGCTGGCTCGCATGCGGTACTCTTGCCAGGGGATGCTGGCGGTTTGCAAGCATGTTGTATATACATATACACATATATATATGAATATATATATATATATATATATATGTATGTATGTATGTATGTATATTACTGTTCTAGATATACACGTGTACGCACATGCTCTTGCGGGTGATGTCTACCACGCCTCTGGCGCAGCGGGAGGTCGGGGAGGTACCACATTTCGCTCAAGAGGCCCGACCTGAAGAAAATCGTGGCCGACGCTTTGCCCGCCACGAAGCGCAAGTGGGTCAAGATGTGGCTGAAGACAGGCCATGTGTATATATATATGTATATATAATATAGGTATGTATGTCTACACACCGCTTTAGCAATTTTCGTGTGCATATGTATTTATATATGTGTATGTACATGTGCCCGCCAGTGCCACCGTAAACATCACACTGGTATGACAACAACACGCCAAATATATGGGACAATACAGTATTGCAATTTGGTAGCTCAGCAATCTCATTATATGGGATAACGTCGGCTTGTATTCTGGTGGCATCGCAACAATCCCACTATATGGGATACCGCGTGTCTGCAGTTGCCGAAGCATACACACATACATACACATAGCTGTGCATGCCTATATACAAGCATACATTTATACATATGAACATGCTTGTACACGTGCATGCGTACAGTTAGTTACACACGTGAGTCTGAACATAGATGTACAACACGTGTTGGAAACACACGGACTACAGCACTGCATCCGCCCTCGGCCTTCGTCGCCAAGTCGTGGCTCATGTAGAACGTGTATGTGTCATGCAGAGGCGTGCGTACTTTACATATGCATACGTGTGTTTATGCATTCATTTCTACATGTACATGAACATACCAGCATGCACGTATGTGTATAGAAATATATATGTATATACACACGCATTGGGACACATCACCTCCCCCAGACCAGGAAAGTTCGAGCACATCGAATCCACGAAGATCGAGGAGTCCAGCAACATCAACGAGGGCGGCCTCTACAGCGGGTACGTGACCCACGATGAGATGTTACTCTCGTTTGGCTATTCGCAAGCTCATCCAGACAGCCCGATGTCGCAGAGGCCAGATTTCAGAATTATGGGGAGGACGAGGAAGGAAGCACGGGTGGAAGGATGGAGTACAAGGGACGAAGGAAGAGGGAGGGGACGGGGGAAGGCAGAAGAAAGACAGAGAGAGAGAGAGAGAGAGAATACGAGGGATAGGGGATAGAGTGAGACGACAGCGCATGCTGCGAGGGCGGTGGTGAGGGCCGAGAACACGGTCAAGTGGTGCGAGAAACACAAAGCTACCAAGGCGGGCTGGGACGGTGCCATGTGCTTCACGCCCGCTGGGGACTCCACAATCGATGGAGCGCGAGAGAACCTAGATCAGATGCGGGATTGAGTATGGCCAGGGAAGGAAGGGACGAGGGGTGATGCTACGAGTCGGAGGGGGTGAACAGGAGTGAGGGGACGGCAACGCAAGGCGGGAGGAGGGGAAGGAAGGATCGATGATGACAGCGTGCGGGGCAGGGGAGATTCACCACCAGCATGGTGACATCTTGTACCAGAAGGATGCCATCAACAAGAGCGAGGTGCAGGAGCTTTTGCCCCTCGTTATTTCCGTGCACATATACATACACATGTGCAAGCATCCACATAAACGCACGCACACGCGCACACGCACACACACACACATACGCACGCCTACAACATCCACACCTAACAACATACACACCACAAAACACAATGCACACACGAAGCTCACAAACACCTGACCACATACACAACGAAATGTGCGCGCGTGTCCGCCCACACATGCACGCGCGCATGTGCGTGCTGGGGTGTCTAGCATCTAACACGCCCCATTCTCGCTCTTCCCTCACCGTTGATATCAACGATCTTCAGCGCGACGCGAAGACGCTGCGCACCGAGCTGAGCACGGGCAAAGAGAAGGTGGACCCGAACGCCGCGTCTGGGTCTGCAGGGCCTCAGGTGAAGCCCCCAAGGGGGGGGGGACGGCAGAGCCAGCATCGATTCTGAAAGTGTCGGCTGTCGGATGGGGCGACGGTGGACGCGACTGCGAACTGACGACGGCGATGACGAAGATGACGACGAAAGGGTTTGCAAAATCGAACACGAAATGACCGCGACAATGAAGACGACGACGACGACGACGACGACGACGACGACTGCGACTGCGACGACGGCGATAACGACGACAATATCAACGACGCTGAAGACGGCGACGACGACGGCGGCGACGACGACGGAGGCAGGAGGGTGAGGAACACCTCTCATCTTGGATTTTGCAGGCATGGAAGGCTGTTACTTCTCATATTGGGTTTTGCAGGGCGAGGAACACATCTCATATTGGACGGCGATGGCCACGAGGACGATGAAGGCGAAGATGGCGAGGATGTCGATGATGAGTTGGGCAGGCGGAGTCGAGCAACTACTCCGACTCGTCGTCGTGCTCCTACAGTGAGGACATGTCCTCCGATTGCTATTCCTGGCGTGGGGTGAGGCTTCGTTGTGTGTGCCCTCGTCCATCCCATAGTATTGCATCTCCCTTGCACATTCAGACGTTGTTCAGTGTCTGCGTTTGGGGATCTCGCTCGTGCCGTCAGCAAACGACCTAGCGCTTTATTATATCCAGGGTTCCAGAAGAAAGCGTGGATCATGCGCGCATCGCATACAGAGTTGCAGCACGAAGATAACGCATCACAGCAAAAACACACACAAACAAATAAACACATATAAGCTCCCTCGCGTGCGCACAGGGTTTCACGCATTGGGGTCTATGCACATATAAGGGGCACACACACATGTGCACATCGGGCTCCACGCACGCACAAACACACAAGCACATACAAGTATGCACACACCACACACACACACCTAGGGTAACCCTCATCGGGTTCCATCGGCATGGGGCTCTGTACTTGTTGTTCAAGAGCCTAATGCTCCCCTCGTGACTTCTGTTGGATACGCGTGGCAGCGAGGACGAATCAGAGTCTGTCAAGGACGAGAGCTTGCCAACCTCGTCTGCCGCCACCAAGCTGGGTGAGGCAGCGCACTTGCTGGCCATCCTGTCTGGCTGGAAGGTTTCGGGGCGTCCGGCACTGCGACGAGGGAGAGGAGGGGGGGGGGAGGAGTGGAGGGAGAGGGAGGCAGGAGGCAGGAGGTGCAAATTCACGTGCGGGATTGCAATGAAACGCAGGCGTGTCAATATAGACACACAAGCGTGCCCATCCTAGTCCATTGTCTTTGTAGTATATGTTAGTGAAAGGTTTCATTGGCTGGTTGCCATTACACTTTGATTGCACATGCCGATCGTCGGGTGCAGCTGTCTTGCATTGCACCTGTCGTCTGATGCCTCTGGGGCCGCGAACGGGGATGGAGGTGAAAGATATGCCGTGGCTGTCGCCATGGGAGTCGAAGCTGAAGCAGGCGATCGCGGATTTGACCAAGGTGAACAAGGACTTGACGTCCATCGTCCAGGGCTGCAAGTCACGACTTTCTTTTCTACTGCCGCCAAGACGGCATGCAGTGAGCAGAACGACGGAGAGGGAGAGAAAGAGAGAGAGAGAGAGAGAAAAAAAAAAAAGAGAGACGGGTTGGACATGTACAGTGCCAGACATGTTCAGCATTGTTTTTCTCCCGTCACGGCGGGGGGGGCAAACATGTACTTTAAGATTGTGCCGCCGACTTGATGTCTCAGTGATCGGTGTCTTTCTCCTTCTCCCTCTCCCTCCATCTCTCTCCCCACATCTCTCTCTTTCTCTCTGTCTCTGTTCCCTCCGCATGCCGCGTGTTCTGCAATAGTTCGGAGGTCTGGCAGCAGCTTCGAGGACTGCTGCGCTACGATCGAGAAGGCGCAGGCCCTTTGCTCCAACATATTGCCCATCCAGCTGAGCGTGGAGGAGGCGAAGAAGAACATGAAGAAGTAGTATTATTTCGGGCAGGGTAGGATTTGCTGCACCACGCACGATCGGATCTTGTTTGCTACCACTTCCCATGAGCATCCGTGATATCCCCGTTCTGCTCTTATTCATCCCTTCTCGGAGTTATTCTCTTCTGGATTGCGCGGTGCAGCAGCGCATCGCTCGAAGTATCGCTTGGGTTTTTTGGGGGGGCTGCTCACTGCAAGCGACAGTGATCAGAAGCTAGCCCTTCCACGTGGACCGCGTGTGCGGTCCTAGGGCACCGTTGCCGCAGACGTTCGAGTGCGAGGCTGGTGAAACACGGTGCGCTCGGGTGCAAATCGCCAGTACGAAGCTGCAGGGATGTCGTGGAACTCGTGTCCAGGCTGCACGCTCGTATATGCACGTGTGTCCCGCTGCGCACCATCAGTAAGCATAACATCGGATGCCGAGCATGTTGAGCAACGGATTGTAACGCATCGTGTTAGAGTGTTGCACTGCATTCAATTGTTATCATGTGGTGCCATGGTCACGAGCCCTTGCAATGTTAGCTTCAGTGCTTCGCTTGGTATGCCACTCGATGCCCCCAGGGATGTCTCCTGTGTGATCGTTCGTTTCTCGAGGCGCCGCCCTGACGTAGCCTCGGCTCAAGGCCGCCAGAAACATCTCCCCCCCCCCCCCCCCCCCCCCCCCCCCCCCCCCCCCCCCCCCCCCCCAGTTTCACCCCCGACAGTGCGTTCTTGCATCGTACCCCGATGCGCGTCCAGAGAAGCTGCTGCAGAATTACTTGCGGGTGGAATCGAGTCGGGGCTCGGATCTAGCGAGGTGGCTGCATCCTTCCATGCGGGGGGCTCGTCGTGCTCTTCCTCTGCGTTCCCGCGTCAACGGCCGTATGTGGGTGCCGCTCAGCAGAATGATGGTGGCGCTGGGCTTCGATCGTTTCTTTTGTGCAGGTACAAACAGGGTAGGTTGTCTGCAAAGGATGTCTGCGTGACGGCGTGGCATGCGACCCGCGGTGGGTCGCAAGGCGTATCTGATTTAGCTTTGCCTGAGGAGTGCACGCATCACACGGAGCACTTGCGCGATGCCATAGGAGCACGGGCCAAGGATACGTTTTTCACCGCCAGGGTGCCGATGTGGAATTCTACAACAGAGGAGCGCGAATATCGAGATTTTCCTTTGAATTTACCTCACGATGAGTTCGCAGCTCAAGTACGCCTGAACCCTCAAGAGTTTGACGTGTCAACGGTACCTGTAGAGAACCTTCCGCTAAATTATGCTTCGCACCCTGCCACAACAAGGGCAGGGACTAAGTCTGTGCCACTCGGGTATTTCTCCGACGCAGTGCCCCATACCAAGACTGACGGCTTTTTCGCACACTACTGGAGCAACACGCTCACAGGGCGTCGGTACCTCATCGCGTCCCTGCGGAAATCGGACCTGTGCAAGTGCGGGTGCCGAGGGCCCTGCACATTGATGACTGTCGCTCGGATTATTTGTTGGAGCTTCAACGCTTTAGCGAAAGGTAGGTACCCCTCGGCAGATCACAATGGTGAGCCGCTCGTGAATGAGCTTCGCTTCAACTCACGGGATTTTCCTTTGACGGATTCTGGACACTGCGGTGCGCTCTGTGAATACAGGGCGGACCTCTTGGAGATGATAGACTCATTGGGCTTTACCCGATGGAATAGCGTCCTGCACCCATGCTTCTGCTGCACGGTCAAGCGAAACAGCCTCTTCGACTTCCCTTTGCAAATGAACCAGTGCAAGTGGAAAACACGCGACTCGTCTCTCTACAACAAGGCTCTTTTGAAGTCACTGACACAGCGTACTATTGATGACCCAGACCAATTGCGTCGACTTTTGGCGTCCATGGCTTTTGATGACGACTACTTTGGATTCGCTCTTTTTGAAGATTTTCCTGAGCTGTCGCTGTTCAGGGGGCACAGGTTAATCGAGGACGCCACACCCCCAGATGGTATCAATAGGGTCCGAGATATCGCTCGGGTCAGTGAGATCGAGTCGCCAGCAATTTTTATGTTTTGGGATCCGCAAGCTGCGTATGGCCTCAATTTCTTGACACCGCTTTTTAGCGTGGAGGGATTTTCGATAGAGGGCCTGCACCTGGACGCCATGCATGTCATCGACCTCGGGGTCACACAATACGTCGCGGGCCTCATTCTATTCACGCTGGTGGAGAACAACTTCGTTGGCTCCCAGCGACGGAAGGCGGAATTGAGGCGCGTTGATAACATGAACCACTTGAGACGGAGGCTGAGCGCTTTTTATAAAGGCCGCAAGTTTGATCCCAAGAGCGTGTCCCGCATCCAGAAGCTGACGCACAGCATGTTAACACCAGCGGGCCCACCCCGCCTGAAGGCGAAAGCGGCGCAGACGAGGAACTTACTACCACTATTGGGCCAACTGTGTCGTGAGAACCAACGCCACTTGGGAGACAATGCACATGTCATTACACTCGCCGTGCAAGAACTTCAGAAAGTGCATGACATCATGGACAGAGAGCCGCGGCGTATGAGCCCTGACGCAGTCCGACAATACCAGCAGTCCACACTTCGGTTCTTACACTTCTGGCAAAGTGCAGGGGGGCATCAAGTGTTCAAGTTTCACATGCTCTTCGAGATGGCCAAACAGACCCCTTCCAAGGGGAACCCGAGATGGTACTGAACGTACGCGGACGAGCAGGAGAACAGATTGCAGGGAAATGTCGCCAAAAGCTTACATCATGGAGATGCATTCTACTCGTCCTTCCTGTCCAAGGTGTTACCAGAAGCTTGTTAGACTTGCATGACGGCGCCTGAACTGCCCTAGTTTCACTATGTCTTTACTTCTAGATCAGTGGTGTTTCACCTAAAGGCTCAAGCTGTATCCTTGCCCGTGCTCCAATGGCATCGCACATGCTGTAGGTACTCATAGCGGGTGGGAGTAAACAAAAAAAGATGGAGGAATAGGAGGAGGAGGAAGCGGAGGAGGAGGAGGAGGAGGAGGAGGAGGAGGAGGGGCAGGATGAGAAGGAGCAGGAGGAGGAGGAGGAGAAGGAGGGGGAGGAGGAGGAGGAGGGGCAGGAGAGAGAAGAGACGGAAGCTATGCAGTACACGGCGAAAGGCCGACGCGAGCAGGGGCCCAGTTGCGCCGCCTTGTTATAGATTACACGTACGCAGTTCGCCGAGCGCTTCGGCCAGAGAAATGGTGGCGGCCGGAACATTGCTCTATGCTTCTTGTGTTGTTTGCCGCATCGTTCCTTCCTTTTCCTCCTTCCTCCGTCCTCCTCCTCCCTCCTCCTCCCTCCTCCCCTGCTCCTCCCTTCTGATCCATTGTCCTTGGCGCTCTGCTGTCGATCCCTGGTGCTGGGAAGAGACAGGCGGCTCCCAACAGAGCATTTACCTTCATCCTCCCTCCTTCTCCCTCCTCCTCCTCCTCCTCCTCCTCCTCCTCCATTGTCCTTGGCGCTCTGCTGTCGATCTCTGATGCTGGGAAGAGACAGGCGGCGCCCACCAGAGCACTTACCTTCATCCTCCCTCCTTCTCCCTCCTCTTCCTCCTCCTCCTCCTCCTCCTCCTCCTCCTCCTCCTTCTCTTCCTCCTCTTACTCCTCCTCCTCCTCCTCCTCCTCCTCCTCCTCCTCCTCGCCCTCCTCCTCCTATCCTCCTCTTCCTCCTCCTCCTCCTCCTCCTCCTCCTCCTCCTCCTTCCTCCTTCCTCCCTCCTCCCTCTTCCTCCTCCTCTCCTCTCCTCCTCCCCTCTCCTCTCCTCCTTTCCTCCTCCTCTATCCTCTTATCCTCTTCCTCCTCCTCCTCCTCCTCCTTCCTCCTCCTCCTCCTTCCCCCTCTTCCTGCTCCTCCTCCTCCTCCTCCTCCTCTCCTCGATTGCCCGAGATGATGCGCCTTTACGCTATCGAGTTACATTGGGAAGCCCGTTTTTGGGTGCGGTGCCCCCACCGCGGCCCATGGAAGGCTATACTTGGGGTGGCCAATAAGGCCACCACAGCCGCCGCCGCCACCGCAGCCGCCGCCGAGGACTTAGTGGCCCTTGCGGGGCTCCATGTCCCGATAGACGATAGACCCGATCCCTGAACCGAACGGCGATCGAGCGATCAATCGATCGATCATCAATCGATCGATCGCTCAATCGATCGATGAATCCATCGAGCGACAACGATTACTTAAGGAAGAGACGGGGGTAATGGAGGTTGTTCCCTCCTCCTCCTCATCTTCCCCCTCCCCCTTTCCTCTTTCCTCCTTCTCTTTCCTCCTCCCCTCCCCAGGCCCCTCCTCCCCCTCCAGTTTCCCCTTCCTCCCCCCCCCGTTGTCCTTCTCCCTCCTCTGGGCCCGTTGCCATTTTGGCTCGAGCTATATTTCCTGCCCACTCCGTGCATGGGCAAGTGCATGCATGCATGTGCACATGCATGGGCAGAGCGTGCACCCCTTGTCACATATGCGCGTGCACCGCGGTATAGATCTGTTTCGTGGCCAGCTTGAGACAAGCTCCATGTTGCACCATGACAAGCTTTTGTGCTCCATGGCTTGCACCATGACAAGCTTTTGTGTTTCATGGCAAGCTTTTGTGTTTCATGGCAAGCTTTTGTGTTTCATGGCAAGCTTTTTGCCGCGTGACAAGCTTTTCCGCTCTGACATGGTTTTTTTTCAATGCTGATCAGCATGCTATACTTTTTTCAGAGCTTCTGGATCTGTGGGTTGTGGGAGCCCACAAGGAGCCCGAGAGAGCTCGTGGTGGGGGCCCACAAGGAGCCGGGGGGAGCTCGTTGTGGGGGTTCGCAAAGAGCCGGGGTGAGCTTGTTGTAGAGGCCCACAAGGAGGCCGGGGGAGCTCGTTTTGGGAGCCCATAAGGAGCCGTGGGGAGCTCGTTGTGGAAGCCCACCGGGAGCCCGGGGACGCTCGTTGTGAAGGCCTACAAGGAGCCGGGGGAAGCTCGTTGTGGGA